CAGGTGGGAGAGTTTCCAGAAGGCAGGGACTATGAATGCTAAGTCTCAAAGAAACCTGACTCCTATGAAATATTTCACTAGGCAACACCAGAAGTCCTAGACTAGAGGAATTCTATGCTGTCCTGAGGAAGGGTCCTTCTGGTTTGGTCTCTATGGGGGGATGTTAACCCAACAGGAGGGATTCTTTCCCCAGCCAGTGCCAAGAGCTGCTGGCACTAGAAGAGTTCTGGGTCATGAATACCTTGCTGGTAAGGGACCTTGGGCATAAATGGGATTAATGGACTCAACCCAGTGCTTAATTTGTGCTGGGGCTTGCCAGAGCTGAGCCTTGGCACCTCCAGGCTTGGCAGTAATGAAGGCATGGGACCACACATTGAGCAATGAGGATAAAACAATATTTGAATAGCTGCTTGTTCATTCAGTTAGCACCATCCATTATTTGCACTAAGGATGGGGAACATGTGACCTAGTTATTAAAGAGGACATCATAACAAATGTGCACAAATGTGGGCCTAATTCTGGCATTTCCTACCTTTTGAGTTCTTAATTTTTCAACCTTAACATTCTTTTAACATAGGTTTTTTGAATATCATAGTATACAAGTTATATATTTTTAATAGTATTAAAGCTTTTTTCATTCAAACCATACATTGCAAGAGCTTTTATAATTATATAACATTATATAATTATATATCTTGACACCTAATACTAAATATTTATATATTTAAATTTTAAAGTATATATAGTAGCATTAGGTAGGAAATAGTTTTACTGTCCTGAGATATTTGTTTTTTCCTATTTCAAACTGGGACAAAAAGTTGAAATCTCAATTGAAATGTTTCATTTTTGATCATTTAAAATATTGTGATTTAATTTCAACCTTTTAATGTATATAAAACCTTTTTTTTTTTGTTATCCATTAACTAAAATTTTGGAATATAAGGTTGTTTAGAATCCAAAATGACTCTTTCTGGGTAACTATTTCTGTTTTGAAGAATCTGCATTTTCCAACATCAACAACAGCTGGAAAATTCCCAACTCTCTTTCATATGGAATCATCCCAAAAATTCTACTTTGGACTTACATGTTGCATTTCCTCTCCTGTTTTAACAAATCACCACCTTTTGTTCTCCTTAATCAGAGCCTGTTGAGTCAGCAAAATAGTATTCTCAAAAAGAAAAGGAGTACTTGTGGCACCTTAGAGACTAACCAATTTATTTGAGCATGAGCTTTCGTGAGCTACAGCTGTAGCTTATGCTCAAATAAATTGGTTAGTCTCTAAGGTGCCACAAGTCCTCCTTTTCTTTTTGCGAATACAGACTAACACGGCTGCTACTCTGAAACCTGTCAAAATAGTATTGTATCTCTATGCAGAGTCCTAGCCTCTGATACCTGTTAGCCTCAAGTGAGCCCTGCCCATATGAAAGTACAGATTGAAATTGCATATGAATCACTACTTAAACACTCCAGTGAATCTGATGTGTGACATTTGATTTGCCAATAAAGCAATTTAAAGTAACTAGAAAGTAATGGTCACCTGAAGTTAAGACCATAACAGACAGTGATTGACTTGCTTGTTCTTCTCTTACAGGGGTCTGTTTACATATAATCTTCCTTTTCCCTTATAATCTCTGCTCATGCTAAGCAATTACTTTGACACATTAATTCCCTCTCTAGGGTGCACTGTCAATTTAAGATGAACAAAAGTAGACTAGGCAAAAATACTAAAACCCTTTTTTCATATAATTTCATTACTAACATTTTAAACAGGCCTGTAGAGATTTATGCTAGGAATTTAAACATCAGTTTAAAATGAAAATACCACTTTGAATTTGGGTGTGTTTTTCTAAGAACTTAAAGTGGATCACAACTAAACATGTGATTAGGTCAGGCTTGACAAAGCCCTGGCTGGGATGACTTAATTGGGTATGGGTCCTGCTTTTGAGCAGGGGGTTGGACTAGATGACCTCCTGAGGTCCCTTCCAACCCTGATATTCTATGATTCTATGTATCTCAGGGGCAAGGATAATAAATGATTATCTTGTTATTCCCTGACGTGCCTGGCACTGCACAATAATGACTGTATACCCAATAACTCTGTATTTGGACCCCCTTTCTATCAGTATTATTCAGTTAGGCTTTAAAAAATCACATTCCTTATGGGGATTCCCATTTGCACACAACCCTTTCTGAACTGTATTAAGAGAATCGTATACAGTTGTGGTAGTGAAGGACTACAAGGGATGTACCTGCTGCTTTCCCTTCCAAAATAGTAGTTTCAATTATATTTCCCCTTCTAGTGACATTTTCTTGGTCTCCCTTGCCTTCAGCCTACTTTGAATCTTTAAGAGGGAATCCTTCCAACTGTCATTGAGCTACATTGAATGGGCACCTACAATTTCCAGATTCACTCTAATATCTAGATGTCACATTACTTTGTATGAAGTGGCTCAGCAGCCATGAAAAAGACCTTGTAATCAAAAGTTTTAAATCAGTATTCATGAAATGAGGACCCTGACCACTTGTTGTCATTAAATATATTATGGTAATAGCACATATAGCAAAGTTTTATATCCGTGAAAAGAAGTAGGTCGATAAAGTCAAGAAACAAACAAACAAAAACTCCCACAAAACAAAATCAACACTACCCGTGGCCCCCATTCAGGAAATCAAGACTATTCAAAAAGTGCAGTTACATTTTAAGCACATTTTAAAACCTACTGAAGTTAATGGGACTTGAACACATACTTTAGGTTGAGCACGTGCTTAAACTCTTTCCCATATCAGGGTTTATGTTAATTAAATGTTATGCCTGAGGATTTTACATACCGAAGTGTAATGAAATTTGAAAATGTGGGTCCCAGTTTAGCCATAAATTGGGCCACACTTGCATATGCTGTACTGTGTATTACAGAATATGTTTTTTACTTTAATACTTTAATATCTATAAGAATATATAATTAGGGATTATCCGTTTGAATTTCCTAACTATTCTGTATGTAAAATATCAACCACAGAGCTACATTGCATTTTGTTTGCATTTGATTTCTTCAATTTATTCTAGTTCTGTTTTGTTTTATAAACAATAGAGGGTTGTGTGTTTATCTTGGGTCATTTGATTTGTAGTAGTAGTTATTTGTGCTGCCAGCCAAAATGCAACACCTTTTTAAGACAGGAAAAAGTAATATGAAATTAAACTCCTGTTTTTATGCCTTTTCAGCCTAAAAATGCTAATCACTCTGTTTACCTTTACTGGAGTGAAATCCCACTGTCCACAGATTTGAAAGGGAAATATGGGTTTACTTATTTAAAAAAATGTAGTTTACATGGTTTGGATGTGTGATGCTCTATTTGGAACCAATATTTAGAATTTTGAGTGGTTCTAATTTCTTTTGCAGGGATGCACCATGTTTAACATGGGATTTCAAAAGTACTGAACAGAACTGGTGCTTTGTCTCCTCCATATTGGTTTGATCAGTGTTTCTGTAAATCAGGGGATTTACAAATTTATGGGTTAATTTGTTTTTCCAGGGTCCATCAAATCAAACAATTACTGTATCAGACTGAAGTATTTTACTAATGCATTCTAGATATTGGCTTTACATTCAGATTCCATATCAAGACCTTCAGGTGGTTAGAATGATCAGAGAGTTGTACATAACACTCATTAATGTATATATAACAATATACAGTTAACCAAAGCAAATATACAGTTTAGCATGAGATCAAGACTGGCCCATCTGCATTTGTTCTTTTTTTAGTTCCTCTTTCTTCATGCTAGAAACATTACTCACACTGTAATGTTTGGTCAATCAAGCAGGATGCTATTATTTTGAAAGCTTCACTATATGTTTTTATTTATTTCCTTAATTCCTTTGGATTACTCTAAGTATTCCGGGTACTAACATAATTTGTTGATGACTCTTTCTGATCTTTTCACTGGTAATTGGCAGATAAGGTATTTTGTTGAATTGGCTAATTATGTATAATATAATAAGTTGATTCCTTCTGGAGAGTCATATAGCATGGTTATCAATAATCTATTTAAGAGGAATTCTTGTGTATATTGACACAAAAGGGTACACAATCCACTTTTCGATAACTCTCTATCACCTTTTAAATCAACGGCAGGGGAGATCGGTAATCTTAGAGGGAGGCTTTTTTCTTTGCCAGGCGCTCAATAATCCCAGTTGAAATCGATGAGCAGTCATCTCATTTTTTCATCAGGTACATTCTTGTCAAATAACTCAATACAATTAGCTAAACTTCGTTTTCAGCATTCCATCTGAGTTGTTATTTGAATAGGTTTTGAAAATCAGAGATGTTATGCATGGGTGGAGTGCTATACAACTGTTTTTAAATTAGCTGCTTTTCATAGCCCATAGTCAGCCACTCAAGCATTTTCTGTGACATGAGGTGGGCATTGTTTTTGCTCATCTATCTCACTGCAGCAGGCCTGAAATGACTGCCAATTAGTCACTTCATAAATCAGCAAGGAACTGGAATTGTGAAGAATCTGTTCAGCATAATTTAGTTAATTAAAAATTAATTTATTTTATTCAGTACAGATAGCATTCATAAATTACAAATCAAGGTTAATCATAAAAACATATATCCCTCTGTAATTCAAAGGGGACTTGGCATCAATTATTTTCAAAGGGCTATTTAAAGATAGTCCTGGTGAATCTATTTTTTAGTAAGGACTCTCTATCAAGCATAACATTCTAGCACCATTGAAATCAACAGGAGTTTTGGCATTGACTGCCATGTGGTCAGGATTTTACTTCAGGTGTTTACGTAGTATCTTCTAATAATGTGTATTGTCCTGTTTGTTTGTTTCTTTCAATAATCTAATACAAGTTGTATCAAAATTCCCCTTTACTTGTTTGCAAAAATAAAGTATGCTATGTTGTATGCTTAGTAGACACAGTGTAACAGTCTTTTCTGCTAATTATTACTGACTGGTAAACTTAATGCTAGAATTTTCTGTCTTTGTTTAGATGGTTTTTTGGACCAGTCACACGAGCAGATGCAGAGAAACAACTGTTGTGCCCTGAAAATCAGGCAGGAGCCTTCCTAATCCGAGAAAGCGAAAGTCAAAAAGGCGAATTCTCTCTTTCAGGTATCACAGTTTTTTACCTTGAGAAATACTGTAAGAGTTTTTCATTTGGCCTGTTTTTCTTTTCTAATTTTCTAAAGTGATAAACTGCATGCATGAGAATGAAATTAAAATCCATAATAATCTCTTGTTCCCAAGAGATACCTAAAAGTTGGCAAGAGCCGTAGGCCTTTACTAACTTTTACTTTATAGTTCTTTATTAATATGCTCAAAATTCAAATTAACTTTCTGTGCTTATTGCTTTTCATTGTTCCAGCTGCCTTGAAATGGGAAATGCTGTCATAATTAAAGAGCCACAAACACATTAGAGTTGTACATCAATGCACCTACTGGTTCAGAGTGGAAATTAAACACATTTTGGCACTTGGCAGATCTATACAGGGTATGAAAACAGTAGAATCTCTAGAATATATCCTTAGTTTTAAACTGATCTTTTTGTGGGATCGGTTGGCAAAACTAGACTTCAGAAACACATGATCAATCTTCAGTGAAAAGTTAGTTGTATCTATGGTGGTACGTTTAATTTTTTTATTTATTCAGGTTTCAGAGTAGCAGCCGTGTTAGTCTGTATTCGCAAAAAGAAAAGGAGTACTTGTGGCACCTTAGAGACTAACCAATTTATTTGAGCATGAGCTTTCGTGAGCTACAGCTCACTTCATCGGATGCATACCATGGAAACTGAATAAGACATTATATACACACAGAGACCATGAAACAATACCTCCTCCCACCCCACTGTCCTGCTGGTAATAGCTTTTACCAGCTATTACCAGGTTTTATAAGCTATTACCAGCAGGACAGTGGGGTGGGAGGAGGTATTGTTTCATGGTCTCTGTGTGTATATAATGTCTTCTGCAGTTTCCACGGTATGCATCCGATGAAGTGAGCTGTAGCTCACGAAAGCTCATGCTCAAATAAATTGGTTAGTCTCTAAGGTGCCACAAGTACTCCTTTTCTTTTTATTTATTCAAGATCCCTCATTCTGGCTTCAAGATATGTGATGGGCTTACTGGTAAAATTTGTACCTGAAAATGGACTGATTACCTACTAAATAGGGAAAAGCACAATTTTACTTACAGCAGCCAACCTTACTTCTTTTTAACGCTAGTCCTAATAGGTAATATGAAATATTATCCCATGGTGGATTTTCTTAGACACCGTTCACCAGATCTGTGATACAAATATAAGCCATGAGAATTACAAGAGAAGACTGTCAGTGGGGGTATAATATTGTATACCTGGAGATGAACTGGAAGCAGCTTTCAAAGTTTTTGCTCACAGAGTAGTCTAGTCACTCTTCAGTACTTGGATTAAATTAGGATGATTCCACCCACTTGATTACATTGGCCCAGTACAGCATTTTGCTGTTACTGGAACGGAGTGCAGTAGAGCTTGCAATATTTTGAGGCATGTGTCAGCATGCTAGGAAAGTGAACAGCTTGTCATCCACATACATTCTGGCTGTGGTAAATCACCTGGAGACAGTTTAGGCTTTAAAGCAAAATCAGAAAGTATCTTGCATCCCTGTCAAGGCTGACAAAGGCAGCAAAATACTGCAACTCCAGCTAAGTATTTCCTAATGATATTGTCCATTTCACGGAGGTTGCTCAGACACTGAGATCAGTGTAAAACAAGGAGAAACTGCACCCTTATGGATCCCAGACTTATGCTTTGGGATGTTTATAAAAATGTATAATTACACACATATATAATTATATCCATATAATATGTAACCAGTGAATTATAAGAGAGGAACCTGAACCAAAGCCTAGGATCTGAAAACCCCCACACTTTGAAAAAAGTATGGGTCTGGTTCAGAAGTCTGGGATTCTGACCCATTTCTATTAATTGTGCGATAGTTCAGTATTGTACAACAATACTTCTTTACTGAAGACCTCTACAAAGTGGGATTTGACTATTGCAGGGGAGGAGAGGTGTCAGTTTAGACATAATTTTGAGTCACCTAGAACAAATGTATTTATATTGAGCGGAAACCATGTGAAACTCCTCGTATTTTCAGCTGTTTAACTTTGGTTTGGAGTTTAATTTGTACCTGAAACTCAAAGCAAAACCCCAGAGGATTTGACTCTGCAAAGATCAAAACAAATAAATATATTTGCCCAAGCCCCTGTAACCTGAAATCTATGAGGTTCACACCAATATATAATGGAGCCAAAGATATAAGAAGGAGAGATTAATAGGCAAATCTATTTAGGTGGCAGAGGGTGAAGAGGAAAAAAAACCTTCATTAAAATGAACACATTTCATTTCTAATGTGTCATTGTGGAAAAAACTCACATTTCAAAAATGATTTAGAAGGCAAACAAGACTTTGAATTCAATTTCAATTTTTAATTTTAATGAGAGGTTTTTGTGGGCCACAAAATGTTAAACTGAGACCACATCAAACTTTAGATGGCCATAGAGATCTGTTGCTATCATCCTAACTGCTTGATGTTTGTCATATCTTTTTTTTATTTAAAAAATGCGTATGTTGCAGAAGGAATTTTATGTTGATGATTCTAGCATCTGGTGTAAAAGGCATTAATTTTTAAACATGCCTGTGCCATCGTAGGCATTGCCTCTTTTTAATTAAAAGCCATAATTTAGATGTGCTCAGCTTAATTGAGTGTCACTGCCAATAAAAGCAAGAGGCTTGTCTCTTTTTCTTGAATAATGACATCTGCAAGATTTCCTGCATTAAATGACAATACATTAAAGCACCTGCTATACTTCTATACATACATTTAAAACTCAGATACTCCTGTTGCTACAACCTTCTTTTTAACTATAGACCACAGAAAGCAAATATACCTATCCTCACTAAATTGCATGGAGGTGCTGAATCTGAGTTTGTTGCTTGCCTTCAGACTTGGGCCATGTGGGCTGCCTACCCCCTCTTCCTAGGGATGAACATGGGACTCCCCCTGGTCCCACTGCTGGGAGTGGAAGCAGTCAGGATACATCTGGCAATTATGTGTCTTTTTTGTGCTCCCAGAACAAGGCTGTCTGGTTTCCCGTGGGGCTGGGGGAGAGGAGGAGGATGACATTTGGGCAGAGCAAAGAGTGGGAATGACAGCCAGCTGCAGTCAGTGCAGGCTGGTGGGGAAAAGAATGGTTAGACAAAGGGATAGGTAAGAAGTTGCGCGGTAGTTTTTGAGGTCTGTGCTCTTGCCAAGTTGCTTTTTTATTGTTGTTGGTCTGTATTTGTGAGGCTGTCTTGGTTTAAATTAGAAAGACAATTTTGAGGTCAGAGGTGCGGACTTTTATTTTTCCCAGTGAGTGCTCCCCCACTCCACCCAGAGGCCCCTCCCGTGCTCTGCCTCTTCCCACCCCCACTCCGCCCCTCCCCCGAGGCCCCCGCCCACCGCTTGCTGCTCTCTGCCCTCCCCCAAGCTGAGCACCCACTATTTATTTTCTGTGGATGCTTGAGCCCCAGAACACCAATGGAGTCGGCACCAAAGGCTGAGGTAATATCTTTTATTGGACTAACTTCTGGTGAGAGAGAGACAGGCTTTCAAGCTAACATGGAGCTCTGCTTCAGGTCCTATATTCAGGCACTGTCTTTCTCTTCCATGTCTGTACACAGCCTAACACACTAATACTCAACTCTGGGGCCTTTAAGATGCTCCAGAATACAAATAAATAATTCCTCAAACATGCAGGTTCTCCACATGAAAGCAAATTTCATGTAGAGAGAATAGGAAATCAATTAAAGTTTTAAGAGGATGGGCAAAAATACTGTCTTGCTTCCCAGTGCAAGAAAGCATTCTCTGGACCCCCTGAAATAGAGAAATAGAACCATAGAAGTAGGAATGATGTTACTTTTCTGATCTGTGAGACAGTCCAGTCCTTGCTTACAGACAGCCCCCCAACCTGAAGCAAATACTCACCAGCAACCACACACCACACAACAAAAACGCTAACCCAGGAACCTATCCTTGCAACAAAGCCTGTTGCCAACTGTGTTCACATATCTATTCAGGGGAGACCATCATAGGGCCTAATCACATCAGCCACACTGTCAGAGGCTCGTTCACCTGCACATCTACCAATGTGATATACGCCATCATGTGCCAGCAATGCCCTCTCTGCCATGTACACTGGCCAAACAGGACAGTCTCTACGTAAAAGAATAAATGGACAAAAATCAGACTTATAACAAGAATTATAACATTCAAAAACCAGTCAGAGAACACTTCAGCCACTCTGGACACTCAATTACAGACCTAAAAGTGGCAATTCTTCAACAAAAAAACTTCAAAAACAGACTCCAACCAGAAACAGCAGAACTGGAATTAATTTGCAAACTGGACACCATTAAATTAGGCTTGCATAAAGACTGGGAGTGGATGAGTCATTACACTAACTAAAAACTATTTCCCCATGCTGATTTTCACCCTACTGTTACTCACACCTTCTTGTCAGCTGTTTGAAATGGGCCATCCTGATGATCACTATACAAGTTTTTTTTCTCCTGCTGATCATAGCCCACTTTAACCGATTGGTCTTGTTAAGAGTTGGTATGGTAACCCCCATTTTTTCATGTTCTGTGTATATATCTCTCTCTTGCTACTGTATTTTCCACTGCATGTATCTGATGAAGTGGGCTTTAGCCCATGAAAGCTTATGCTCAAATAAATTTGTTAGTCTCTAAGGTGCCACAAGTACTCCTTCTTTCTGCTGATACAGACTAACATGCCTGCCACCCTGAAACTTGTTTTAAATGTCACCTAACCGCCCTCTGGTGGCAGTTGTTGGCAATCGCATGTGACAATACAAATATGTATTCCTGGGTAAGGAAGTGTGTGGGTGGTGGGGGATATTCTATTCACTTAAAATTGGATTAATGATCAGAAAAACTCCATGGTAAACTAACCTTTTAATTGACAACATTTGAATTATTCTAACATTTCAGGAACTTATATCAAACATACACACCTGCCTGTGTGTGTATGTATATATAATATAATGAGGGTATGATGGTGTGGTATGAAGCAAAGGCTTTATTAGCATGACAAAAGGGGAAATAAGAGACTTGCCAATATTTAGATCTTCAAATTAGAGATAATGAGTCCCATATACTGTACTACAAGTACACACATTAGGAGGGGAGGGGAAAGGGACTGAGTTATATATTAATTTGCTTTCCCAGTTAAACAAAAATAAAAAAAATGAGGCTCCACATATCTACATTAAATAGACATACTTTGGAATTGCAGTTCCTAAAAAGTGTACTGAGCTTACAAACGGTTTTAAACATGGGGGGAAAGGGGATCAAAGAACATCTAGAGCTCTTAAACACATTCCTCTCTATCAGATAAGAACACCCACACATCCTCTCCTTCCTTTGGATTTGGCTCACTACCCCATGCTTAGCAAGTGAGGTTCAGGTTATGGTGACCTCTCAGCTGGCACATATTAAGTACAGTTCTGTTTCCCTTTAGTCATACAATAAGGATAACAACGTTTCATTACCCCTTCATTGAAGATTTAAGGCTTTAGTGATCAATAGCTCCATGTCCAGTTGGCAGCTGGTATCAAGCGGAGTGTCTCAAGGGTCAGTCCTGGGGCCGGTTTTGTTCAATACTTCATTAATGATCTGGAGGATGGCATGGATTGCACCCTCACAAGTTTGCAGGTGACACTAAACTGAGAGGAGTGGTAGATACACTGGAGGGTGGGGATAGGATACAGAGGGACCTATACAAATTAGAGGATTGGGCCAAAAGAAATCTGATGAGGTTCAACAAGGACAAGTGCAGAGTTCTGCACTTAGGACGGAAGAATCCGATGTACTGCTACAGCCTAGGGACCAAATGGGTAGGCAGCAGTTCTGAAGAAAAGGACCTAGGGATTACAGTGGATGAGAAGCTGGATATGAGTCAACAGTGTGCCCTTGTTGCCAAGAAGGCTAACAGCATATTGGGCTGTGTAGATAGGAGCATTGTCAGCAGATCAAGGGACGTGATCATTCCCCTCTATTCAGCACTGGTGAGACCTCATCTGGAGTACTGTGTCCAGTTTTGGGCCCCACACTACAAGAAGGATGTGGAAAAATTGGAAAGAATCCAGCAAAGGGCAACAAAAATGATTAGGGGGCTGGAGCACATGACTTATCGGGAAAAGCTGAGGAAACTGGGATTATTTAGTCTGCAGAAGAGAAGAATGAGGGGGGATTTGATAGCTGCTTTCAACTACCTGAAAGGGGGTTCCGAAGAGGATGGATCTAGACTGTTCTCAGTGGTAGCAGATGACAGAACAAGGAGTAATGGTCTCAAGTTGCAGAGGGGGAGGTTTAGGTTGGATATTAGGAAAAACTTTTTCACTAAGAGGGTGGTGAAGCAATAGAACGGGTTACCTAGGGAGGTGGTGGAATCTCCTTCCTTAGAGGTTTTTAATGCCTGGCTCGACAAAGCCCTGGCTGGGATGATTTAGTTGGGGATTGGTCCTGCTGTGAGCTGGGGGTTGGTGTAGATGACCTCCTGAGGTCCCTTCCAACCCTGATATTCTATGATTCTATGAAATGTTAACCCAAAACAGCCAAAATTGATCACATAGGCAAAGTATGTGTGCCTATGCAAATAAGGACTGCCTGTGAGGTCTTTTCCACTAGTTTATCAATAGATGGCAGGAGAGAAATCATTCAGACCCCTGGCTTACATGCAGTGTGTGTTTGCTTTTAAATGTCTGCCATTTGGAAGTGGCTCTTTGGAATGCTGACACTGATTAACTAAATATTAGAAACAGATGAAATTGCTTTGCTGAATTAGACAATCTTTGGTGTCTTTCATGTCTGAAAGGATGGGAAATATAAGCTGCATAGGGAAAAATGTCTTGCTATGTCTATGTGTCAGATCCTATGGGTCAGAATTTTTCCAATCCAGGTGGCTAAAGTTAGGCTCCTAAATCCACATTTAGGCACCTAAATGTAAGGTGCATTATTTTGAGGAGGACTTATGGGTGGTAGGCACCTTTGTGTCAGGTGAGGGTTTCCCAGTGATCGGGAAATGGTCCCAGGTCCCAGCCACAGGCCTCTGCACAAGTTCTACTCTCCCTCTGAGGGGGTCACACTTCACACCTGGATCAATCACCACACTTAGCAATAGCATAACGTTTTTATCTAACCCAGCCAAAGCCAGGAGTAGATCCAGGTCAGAATCTCTAGCAGGGGCTGCACAAACTCCCTTCCTTCCATCCCCACATGCATGGTTAGATACATAAAGGCTCTGTGATGCACACCACTGCAGTCCGCTCCTTGGGTCACTCCAACTTGTCCATGCAAACTGATGCTGGTGTGAAATGTGAGCTCAGAGTGGTGAGTCTTGTTGTACAGTACGGTTGCCAGGTGTCCAGTTTTCAACCGAACACTCAGTTGAAAAGGGACCCTCCCCAGCCCGGTGAAAATGAGCGAGTGAGTGAGGGTGGGAGAGAGAGCGAGCGACAGAGGGAGGGGGGAAGATGGAGTGAGCAGGACGGGTCCTCGGAGAAGGGGCAGGACAAGGGTGCTTTGTTTTGTTGGGTCAGAAAGTTGACAACCCTATTGTATATTGTATGGCCTCAGCTCTCCTTTCCGGGCTCCAGTATGTGCATCTGAACAAGCACCAGTACAGCAGCTGGCTGTCCTCCAATCAGCTTCGAGTTCAGACTCTGCCCTGGCTCAGCTGTGCTGCTAGCTACTTCTTCTCTTGCTCCTCTTTCTGTGTTCTCTGTCCAAGTCTTTCCAGGGCTGGTTTTCCATCCTGCCCTCATCTGCTCATTGGCTCAAGCCTTCCCAAGTGGTCCATAATCTTGCTTTGGAGCAGCCAATTGGGTTTGCACAGAGTGTGGGGGAACAGGGGATAGGACGGAGAAAGGAAAGGGCTCTCCCAGTCCTACACCTGCCAGGATGTAAACACACTTGTCCCCAGGTGGAGGGCATACCCCCTGGCTTGGCCACCCTCATCATTGTTGTATCAGCTGGGAAGGGGGACCCTCGATCTTTGAGGACTTCAGGGTGCTTCTGCCTCACTGTGCTTGTCCCCTAGCTCCCACTGTAGAGTAATGTTCAGGTGACTCCTCCCTGCTCTGCTCTTCTCTTGTCTCAGGGCTAGATTTTGGTCCCTCCTGCTTGCCCTGCTCCCATCCTCCTCACTCTGCTCTTCCCCTGCCTCAGGACCAGGATGAGGGACAGGGTGCTTCCAGTGGGGATTCCCCCCCCCATGTGAGCCATCCCAGCAGTGGGAGCCTAATGACTCCTTTCAGCCCTGCCTCCTGGCTACTAGGATTCGGATCTCTTCCCCACACTCTGTTTTGTGGCTCAGGCTGAAAGTGGCAAGGCCTGAACACGTTGCAGTGGACCAGCTTCTCCACTGTATCTGCTGACTCTGCTCTAATCTTGTATTTGGGCCATTTGGGGTATGGGATCCCACAGATGATGGGACCCAGGCTGTGTTCAGTTTGGAGCACCTCTGCTGACTGAACAAGACCAGATTGCCCAGCACTCATGGGCTGGCACCAGCATGTCTGTCAGAACTCTGTTTCTGTCTGTCTTGGGCTTGCAACGTACTAACAGCTGTGATCTGGTTTACCTCACAGAAGTGTTGGTGATGCTCATGGACCTAATCTGAGGCCCCCCCAGACTGTGGCTCCCTGGGATCCCATGGCCATGTCTGTGGGCAGCCAGTGATGCCTCCCAAACATCAGGAAATAGGGGGTGTACTACATGGAGGTGCACACCATGTTGTTATACACATAGGTCACCTGCAACAAGTAGGAAGGCCAGTCTCTCTGCCACATTTCTGCCAAGGTCCTGAGCCCTGCTAGCAGCGTCTGGTTGCCTTGCTTGCAGGGGGCTTTGTATTTTGGGTGGTAGGCTGTCATCCTTAGCTTGTGGCTGCCATACAGAGAGCACAGTTCCCTAAACATCTGTTACTTGAAGGGCATGCCTTGGTCTGTGATCACCGCAGAAGGGTTGCCATAGGGCTGGGCAAAATAGTGCCAGAAGGCTTCTGTGGTTGCTCTGGCCATGATCTCCCTGAGGGGTATGGTGACCAGGAATATGGCATAATGATCCACCATGGTCAGGAAGTCAGATGCACTGCTCCGGCTTGGCTCTGCCTTCATGTGGTCCAGTGCTAACAATTCCAAGGGCATGTGGGTCTCCATCGGCTGGAGCGGGGCCCTATCCCCTCACCTCTGGATGAGGCACCTGTGGGACTTATGGGTGTTAGGCACTTTTGCAAATTATGTCCTTAAATATACATTTAGGAACCTGACTTGGGTTACTCTGTTTTTAAAATGTTGGCCATAAGCTATATTGTACTATTGTCTATATTTAGTAGCTGGGAGCTCATATCTCAATTTATTTTTTAGTCTTTGATGGAGCAGTTGTGAAACACTACAGGATCCGACAGGAGGCTGAAGAGGGCTTTTTTCTTAGCAAAAAGAATATTTTTAAAACACTGATTGCTTTTGTTGACCACTACACCAATAACAGCGATGGCCTCTGTGTAAAGCTCGGGAAGCCCTGTATAAAGGTAAAGTTAATTTTATATTGTGCAAAATATATATTTTCAAACTAAGCTGCTGGTTATCAGATGCTAGGTTGCAAAATGATGACCTGATTCTTTGATGAAGTTGCGTGGACAGCAGAACAGTTTCATTCTTGGAGCTGACACATTCATAATAAAATACCCTGACATTTTGAACAAATAATTGTGTGGCTGCAGGAAAAGAATGTGCCAACTTGTGATTTATGAATAGTTCTGTATATTGAGATAAAATCACCAAGTTCATAACTCTAGATGTCTATAAGTATTACTGAGACAGAACCATCAGGTTCATGCTGGCAATATTTCATTGTTCGAAAAAGCTTGCAAGGGGGAGTTGATTTTTATAAAATGTAGAGGCTCTTTGACTAGTAGCATTTTCAAGACTTACACAATATCAGGTAACTGCTGCTCTTTCATTTAAAAGTTTTATTTGAAGCTCAACTAACTTTTTTGTAATAAGAGGTACCCAAGATGTGGATTTGTAGTTGTTTTTTATGTTCTCTTTTGAGTTTTTCCTTACAGAACACACAGATGATAAAGATAACTTTATTCCTCCTAGCTGCAACTTTAACTGACACTTTTAAGCAAAGATTTATTATACACACTGCTGAACAAATAGCAAAATATCTAATGTTTGTGTTTGGTTCTTTACACCAGAAAAAAGTTCCTGCTCCTTTCGATTTGTCATACAAAACTGCAGACCAGTGGGAGATAGACCGAAATTCTCTGAAACTGTTGAAAAAATTAGGTTCTGGTCAATTTGGTGAGGTGTGGGAAGGTCTCTGGAATAATACTACACCAGTGGCAATCAAAACATTAAAACCAGGTATGTCACACATCACTTTGAATTGCTAATTTTGTCAGGCCTCAGCAAGAGCCCACTTTCATGTTTTGTAAATACTCTTTATCAGAAAATCAGGCTATCTAATCCTCTTCAAAGATAGGCATATTCTGGATTGAGTTTGCTATTTTGAGATCCTTAAAGATTCTGTGGCACTTTGTACTAAGATTTTATATCCTGCTTACCTAAACTCCCACTGCTCTTTCATTTGTTCTTTGCTCTTCAGTTTCACACACACAACACAAGCTCCCTGCCCCATCATATAATGTTGCTGGCACAGAATGGCTGACATTCTCGAGGTAGCTGCATTTCATCAGTAGGTGAAGTGATCATTTTATCTATAAACTGTAGGCTGTAAAAATCCTTCTGGTGGATAGGTGCTATATTGCTATGAAGTTTTATTGTTATAGAATCTGTATTTGTATAAATCTCTCTGTTGTTATTAAGAGCAGTAATACAGAGTAAAATACTCTAAATAGCGATTGGAAATGTGATAACATTTTGCATATTTATGACATACTCTACTAATTGCTGATGTTTATCTACTGTATATCCTTGTGTGAATAATGTGGCATCTGTTTGACTTTTTCTTTACTTTTAAAATTAATTTTAAGTATCCTTTGCATTGTAAAACAACATCTACCAGCAGATGGCACAAATCACATTGATAACAAAACCAAGCATAGTTGATATAAACATTTAAAAAAAAAGGGAGAGATCATAATACGTTTTCTTTCATTCACAAAGCATTTGTGAGGTTCTAATGGCTCTGATTCAGGAAAGTCCCACTGAGGGACTTAAGATTTTAGCGTGTGTGGGATATCTGTCCTCATTATTTTTCACTTTTTTTTGTTTTTTTTGGAATGGCGACATACAATTTCTTCCCTATTCTTCAAGTGCACATAATCAGTAGGCTCCTGATGATGCACCCTGGCCTCTCTGATTATTTTACAAGTATGATCCGTTATCAGGACCTTTTGCATTGTGAACCCAGGATCATTAGAAGACAACTTACAAAACAAAACTGAAAAAAAAGCTTAGAGCCCCAAATGTGTGTTGTTCACCTGAAAGGACTTCATTGGGGTTTGAGGAGAGGATGGTGTCATGTTACCTTCTCTCCCCTTTAACAGATTTTGGGCCATTTTAACAGATATTCCACTTCCCTCACTACCCTGCATTTAACAGCAGAATGCATAATGTGGCCCCTATATTTGATTTTTCTACTATATTAACTCAATATTTCATCTCTTTGTTGTCTTTGGTAATGCTGGAAGCCATCCATTTTACATAGACAAAAATTAAGGTACAGCGAGAGTAAGACTAATCTCTTTCTCTGTCTTTTCGTTAAAGTGACCAGTGATCTTGAATGCCCTAACTGAATGCCCAAGCTCAAAGGTGCTCAGCATCCCCAGTCCCATGATGGGAATGTCAGTGCTCAGCACCTGTGAAAATCAGGTGGAAGGTATTTTAAGTTGAACACCCAAAATCAATGGCCACTTCAGGCATCCAAAATTAGCACCTTTTTAAAAAACATTTTGACCTTCCTCTCTCTCTGCTTCAGTCTCGCCCTCTGTAAAATGGGAGTTCTATTTTCCAACCTATATAAAGTGTGCTGAGATCTGCATATTAATGATGCATTATATATTATTCACTTCTCCATGAAACAAGCTTCCCTTTTAATACTGGAATCAGAACTGAAAGAGCAACATAGAAACACATCGTCCCCCTAGTCCTAACTAAACTCTCCCTACTAATTTTTTAAAAACTATCAGGAACGATAGGTCATTCAGTTATTTGTTTGGCTGATACCACTTTTGGTACCACTTAAATTGTACAACAAAGAAGGTGAGAGGCCAGATAATCAGCCCTTATTCCTTCATGAAAGAGATTGGTTTTCACATGTTCAGCCACACTACTCCTTTCCACTGAGATCAATCCCTTGACTATTGATCAGTTCGTCAATCCTAGCTACATCCCCACAGTTGTCACTGGAAAGCTTGAGAAACACAGCACAGTATTACCCCATTATCACAAGGGAAGAAAATAAGGAAGGGATTTCTGCTTCAGTTTTTATGTTTATGGTTGGTTCCTAATCATAGGAAAGGGCTGTGGAGATTGGTTAAACATTTGCAGCTTCACATTGGTGATTCATCAATCCCAGAAGCCATTTATTGCTACATAGATAATAAGGCAATAAAAGATGATCACATAAATAAACTGCAGTAGATTTGTTAGATAAAATTGAAAATTTTACACTGTAGTTAGCAAAGAACTGTAGTTTATGTTGCAACTCTGGCAATAATAGAAGCATAGCAATGTGGAGTGGTGGAAGACTTTACCTCTGATATTTAAAATTGGATTGGACAAAGCCATAGCTAATATATTATAGATATTGTTCTGCTCTGGCTCAGGAAATGGGTGACATGGTTTAATTCATCTTCTCCATCTCTGTTTTCTATGGTGTGGTCCAGCTCTTGTTTAAGTCAATGGAAGGAGTGGGTTTGGGCCCTGTGATTCTATTATTGATATACCTTATAAAATATCACAGTATTCTACAGTAAAGACAAAGTATTGTGATAACAAGATGCTGTGTTCAGAATACTACAGCAGATTTTTCTTTGGGCAGGTCTTCATTACCTGATGGATCAGCGGGTAGTGATCGATCTATTGGGGATCGATTTATCGCATCTTGTCTAGACGAGATAAATCGATCCCCGAATGCGCTCCCCGTCGACTCCGGAACTCCAGCTCGTGAGAGGCAGAAGCGGAGTCGATGGGGAAGCGGCAGCGGTCGACTCTCCACCGTCCTCACAGCCAGGTAAGTCGACCGAAGATACACTGACTTCAGCTACACTATTTGCGTAGCTGAAGTTGCATATCTTAGGTCAACCCTCACCCCCAGTGTAGACTAGGGCTAAGGGATTAACTTTTTTTGTAAAAATGTCCTACCCACATTCTGAAACCTCCATATTTTAATGTCCTAGCACATTGGGTTTCCAAAACTTACTTTCATAATTTCAGCAATCTCCATCAGATATATTGATTTAAATAATTTAAAATACCCTAATCAAAATGATAAAAGCTTAGTTTGGTATTAATAAAAATGTAACAGAAGCCAGATGTGGTAATTTACTTCATCTTAATATAAAGGCAATTGGGGAATGGCCTCTGTAGTTCATGAGTTTTGACATTAAGTTTGTTATATTCTGGGACACATACTGATTCTTCACACTTAGAATACAGAGATATAATGGTCTTCATAGACATATAGAAAAAAAAGCCAGAATTGACCATTATGTTATCTGGTATTTCCTCTTATATATCACAGGCCATTAAACTTCACCTAGTTAGCCCTGTATTGAGCCCAATGACTTGTCGTTGACTAAAGCATAACTTTCAGAAAGGCATCCAGTCATGATGAAAGCATGAAATGCTGAAAGCATCAAATGATGGTGAATCCACCATTTCTCTTGGTAGTTTGTTCCAACCGTTATTCATCTTCACTGTTAAAAATGTGTGCCTAATTACTAATTTGAATGTGTCTGCCTTCTATTTCTAGCCATTGGTATACTTTTCTCTACTCCACTTTCACACCCAATACTTACTCCATGTGAAGGTGCTTATACACTAATCAAGTCACCTCTCAATCTTTTTTTGATAAACTAAGTAGATTAAATTCTTTAAGTGTCTTACTGTAAGGCATTTTCTCCATCTCTCAAATCACTCTTGGGACTCTTTTCTATGTGTACTACATTTTTTCAACAATTCTTTTAAAAAATCCTTTTAAAATGTTTCCATTGCTGGAAGACCTCCCAGCTCCAGGAAAATCTAATTCCCAGAATGCTGCAGGAAGTGGTACTGGTGAATCTTTCCCTAAGCCAATTTCCTAACATGGTGTGAACAAACATTGAGATACTGGAGGTGCTGTTTTTAGGGCGGACGGGCACCGGGAGTATAAAGCTGATGTCCTGTACAAAATCAGTGGGTAGTTAGATTATCACAACCTAAATTCTCCCTGCAATTTCAGTTGAATGCCTTATTCTTCCTCACTTCCTATCAAACTGTTGTCTACTATTGTACATTATTAAAACATAGCTGCATGCCACGCAGATGGGCTAGGATTCAGTGATGAAGGAGGTGGTTTCAGAATATTTAATGTGTACAATAATGCAGGATGAAAGGTGATATGTAAATGTAAGACATTATTATCTTTGTGTTATAATGATTATTATTCCTGGTACTTGTAAACTACCAGTCGAGCACCAAACTGAGTTTATGCCAAGCTTCATTATTCAGCATTCCTTACAGGTCAGAAATATGACATTAATTATTGTGCAACTCCTTAGTTCTGAGTTAAAATGAAATAGGCCTGGGATTAAACAGACCGGTGTATGTACTAAAAATAGACCAGCCTTAAAATGATTGTTAATGTCTATATAACGTTTAAAAGTGAGAAAAAAAGGCAATTGTAAAAATAGAGAAAGTAGAGGCCATTAAGCATGGTATATGCAAATAAAAAGAATTTAGGGGTGGAGTCAAATATATACATTTTAAATCATCTCTTTTATAAATTGTCTTTTTACATAATAAATTATTCAGAAGGATGTATATTTTTATATGTCTATAAAGCACTTACACACTTTATATAAATCATAAATAAGAACTAGATGTTTGCATATGCAAGTGGCGCACATATACAAATCTGATGCCATAGAAAATTTGGGGTAAGAGTTCCAAAAGCACCCCTTGACTTACAGTTAGACTTAGGCTCCTAAGTCACTTTTGAAAATTTTACCCTAGGCCCCCTAGTATGAATGGAACTGTGTTGGGTATAGGAATGCAGTAACATGTCACAGATCTAGTCATGCTCCTCCTGCTGGATACTCAGACTATGATGAAGAGATCCAAACATTGAATCCCATGTGCTGTAGCTTGCTGGAGCTATGCAGAGTTTAGGTGCTGTGTCTGGCTTTGGGCCTCTAGGA